ATAATTAGTAAGAACAGTATAATAACATTAGTTAGTGTTCCAGCAAAAGACAACGTCGCTTTCGTTGCAAGTTATTCACGGCGAACTGACCCTCGACAAATATGCCACCACATGGGGTCGGGGATTAATAACCCCTTACCGGCGGCTATTTGTGTAATACACTCAAAAACTCTTCATATTGCAAAATGAATTCAAAGCTTGCAAGGTCGTGTGCAAAAAGTTTTAGTTTTTTTTGTTTTAACTGTAAACCTACTGTCCTGTGTTAATGTTCTTTTGAAGTTCGTAGTCGAAGTAATCATGTACTCAATACGGTTTCAGAAAATTCACAGCATTTATTTTCAAAGTTAAGTTTTTAGCATAAATATGAAATGTAATTACGACTGTTCTAGAATGTTATTTCAGAACAGATATTTAAAGAAACGAAGAATGAATGAAAAATTCCGTCTTATCGACGAGTCACTTGCAAGGCTTCTGACCAATTACCAAGTACGATATCAAAGAGGAGATTGTAAGCCCACGCATATGAATATGAAAATGGAACCAAATAAAAACATTTTGGTTTCCTAATTGGCCGTACAATTATCCTGTCTGCCACTGTCAGATTATACCAATTAGAGATTCCACGTAAATATCGGCCGATCAAGGGCTAGACGTGTGTGCGCGGTGGCGGAAAAAATATTGGATACCTTGCGAATAAGTGAAATATCCGACGCGCCGGGGAAACCTTTGCTCGACTGCTCACAAGCCATTTTATGCTCTAACCCTTTTCTGTAAGGTTGATTATATTTTGTTTGGTGGTGAGTCGGCTGCTGCATTTTGTTTTTAGGAAAAACAATCACGGAGTTTGTAAACAGCAGAGGGACGTAGCTCCACCAGAATTCAATTGACATTTCTACAATCCTAATTAAGCATTGATACTACGTTCCGGGTTGGTTTCACTGGTTGTCGGTTAAAGTATGCCATATTGATTACAGATGTGATAAACGGTATTATTTTGTGTTCATGTTTCGCTTGCAGTTGTTTTCTTTGTATTAAGAGTTTTATTCACTTATGTACTGAATGAAAAACTGACAGTAATGAATGCTTAAAGCATTTTGTACGACTTCATTATGACTATAGCATATAAACGTAGATATCAATTTTGTAATACAATAAAAATGGCCACAAATAATCTTTTGATAATTATCTTACACGTATACATCTATGAACGTGAACTTTGATCGATTGCAAATACACAAACGACTACAAAGCAAACAAGAAAGTGACACGCTTAAAACAAACATTGACAGTAAAACTATCGGTCGAGTGCGCTGGGCGGCTAGGCGTAGTGTGATGAATACATAATTAACCGCTAAAACAATAATTACACGCCCCTGTTTAATCAAATCCGACGAGGGTTTCGTGAAAGCAGCATCCAAATGCCAATATGTCTGCTTTGTCAACAATAGACATCAAAGCGCCGGTCGTCCGCGGACAGGCGCTGCCGTGTGTTTGAATGGCGGCATTGGCGGCCCGGTCGCCGGACCCGGTCGCGAAGGTAGCTGCATCGATTGCATCGCACGCACACTACTAAATATTCCACAATCCCGGGCTTCACCGTCGACATCGACAGTACAATTAGGGCCACATTTCTATACATTTCACTGCATGTGTGAGATTTGAGTGTAACGTTTCATTTAATTATTCTGTGGTCAGCCTTTCATGCAGAATTACGGTGTACGGGCTTTAGTCATTTTGTATTATTATGTTCTCTGTGGAGCTTAATGAATGGGTGTTATATACCAGGTAATTTGTGTTAATTTGCTTATATGTAAATTATTATGTACTTATTTACTGTTTCAGATTTCAAAGTGTTTGGTAAAATAAGATGTGACGTAGGTAAGAACATAAGGCGTGGGCGAGGACTTCAAGTTGTAACTTTGTGACACGTCAGTGACGCGTGTCGTAGGTCATTTCCTGTAGATATCATTGTATATTGTCTTGCATTTTAATGTGATAGACATCTATGTACACTGTAATTCGTTTTAAATTGAATGAAGTGTACAAGTAATGAAAATGATGCAGTTCGAATACCAACAACAGTAATTAATGAAGATTAATTAAAAAACATAAAATATTTTAAATATGAAATACAAAATATAAAACCGAAACAGAATAAATAATCCGGACTACTTTCGTCCATATTGGAAACTTTCATAACGTAATTAATTCTCGGAAATGAACGTTATCGACAAAGAGAAACAATATTTAATAAATAAATCCGAAATACGTGGAAGCTTTTAAATAGAGATACGAGTACATCGAATATTAATCCCGCTGAAGTACAAAGCTGTAGTTCGCCGAAATGGCGGCGCATGGGCCAATGGGAGGCTTGCAGGCAACGTTCACCCAGTTTCCGGAACTCGGCCGGGCGAGCTCGGCAGCACGGCTCACCTCACTATATACTCACACAAACACACAAACAGTCGTCAGTAAATACGTATTGCAATTTGGCAATATTAGTGATGGGACAAAGGACTCGATACTGCGCCATATTCAATGGTATCCCTTTGACGATTGCGCTGTGACGTACAGATGGAATATGTTGTTAATTAAATATTGCGACCGTCCTTTGATGTGTTATTGGACAAATGTTGTGCTCGATGCCATTGTACAGGTATCTGTGGTTCGCATTTAGTCTGCGGTTTTCATAGAATATTGGTAGGGGGGGGGGGGGTGATAGGGATTAAATTTTGTGTTAACTATTTAGATTTAGTGATTTTCATAATATAAAGTTAGTAGTCACGGTATCGTTTTGTTGAGTACAATGATAGGTATTCTAATTTTTAGATTGTAAGATTGTAAGAAATACAACTATTATGTAGTCATCTTCTTTCCTAATAAGATAGATGTATGAATTTGTCTTGTGGTTTAAAATAATTTGTAATTTAACTTAAAATAAATGTGTGAATCTTTACATAAACGTAGAGGAAATAAAATACTCTTTACGTAAACATAATAACTAAGAAGACAAAGACGCACCGACCGGTGTGCGTGTAACAAACGTGCCTTACAAAATTCTCGGAAAGTTTTGTCACAAAATGTTTTAAAACTACAATTAACGCAGCGGAAACGAGTCAGTTGCTAGTCAAGTTTACAATTCTTGGTTGCATTTTCATCAAAGGTTCAGACGGGGGAACGTCGTCCGGCCACGTCTACAAATAAACTCGTCTGGCGGCGAGGTGGAGGTGTATTTATAAAGCAACTAATCAATATTTGCCTATTCAAACACAGGGAGATTTCGATGTTGAACATTCAATTATTGCAATGGACCAACATCGAACTGTAATCCACAAAATGAGTGTTGACACGTACGACCGATCACACACATACACACACACACCTCACCACATACGTGTGATGTGTCCGGTGGTATCAGTGGGATTTTGGATTTAGATACTAACTTAATTAGTCTCCTGCTCACCTCTAGGTGCGGCTAAAGGCTTATTCGCACAACATGGGTCCTGCATTTATAGGTGGACGCGAGTCCACCGGACCTGATAATTGCCTTACGTCAAATTTAGCCCGCGGGAAAATGGTGACGGCATGTGAGGGATTGCGTTTACGTGAAATTTTTAACGGAGAAAAATTTAGCGGCGGCCATCGCGTTGGCACCTATTAGTGCGACGGTTTTAAGTGCATTTTTCAAGCTTCAACGGATTTTTTAATGTAGTTTCGATGTTTTCAATTACGTATCGCCCTACCGGCGATCATGGGCGGGATCAGGAGACTGATATCAGAAATTTTTTAAAATAAAGTTTCTGTTGAGCTAGCGACTAGTTCTTAGTTTTCTTGCTAATAGACAGAAATGAAGTATCAGCATTTGAACCTCTCAAGCAAAGTGTTTTGCACTTTGCAAATTAAGCAAGCTTGTAAAAGCTTGGTTGATGTTACCTGACTATCTATAAGTTAAAGTTTTAGATGGAACGATAACTCAGTACTCTGTTAAGTTCTTGTATAGAGACGACGTCAGCCTGACGGTATGTTATACGTTTCGACATCAAAGGGTTTAATGGATGTTTTCATATTAAAATTCATAGTAATTGCGTAGAGTATTCCTAGGCTTAAGCTACAATGATACTTTTAATAATAAATGTAATGGATGGGAACTGAGTGTACTGTAAATACTTGTTCACTGTTCAGAAAAATATAAGTAGCTAGTTATAATGGTACGTTTGGTTTGTTTCTCAAAGGCATTATACTGAGAAAACAAAAGGCAGACCCGAGTCCTGAGGCATTTAGTATTTTCAACGTGAAATGCTAAAACCGTTTATTATAAAACTTAGAGACAAATCGAGAGGACATATTTCCCTCTGGCTGAATTGTACTGCTTTAATTAAGAACAAAGAGGAGTACAAACAAAGAGAGTGCCCTGCTCAATTGTCTGCAGTAAAAACGTAGAGTGTGTATTATGTATTTTCAAAGTCAAGTCAAAGTCAAAATTATTTATTTCAATTAGACCAGAAAGGCACTTTTGAACGTCAGCAATAGAAATTTAAAAGTGAAGCTATATATTTGCTCATTCCTATTTATATTATTTCGGTATACTCACCGAGAAACTCGACTAGTTTTTCATCTCGTAGTAGAAACTAGTTGATTTCCTAGTCAAATAATTACATGATTAAATTAACAGAGTATTTAATTTTAAAAATATTGTATTGTTATTATTATTTAACTATCTAATTAGTTGGTTAACATAAACCTACAGTATCTACTTATCTATCTACTACATTGATTCAACTTCTTCGACTGATGTGAAATTTGTATAGTGTTACAAATGTTAAAAAATAAATACAATATATAGGTAGATATAGCTATCATTTTAGTGACAAGCTTTTCAAAGAAGTTTGCGCCACAATTTTACAACTAAAACTACCTAAGTTACTTTGAGTCCAAAGTGCATTTGTTAACGGTTATGGACGGAAATGAAAAATAAAAATACAAGTAGCGATGGGGTAAAATGTTTTAAATCTTAAAATGTTTTCCTAGAAACGGGTTTGCTCACTTCTTCCTCTATCTATTTGGTACCAGATTATATTTCCCGTCAGTCGCTTCTCGGTACATGTTCAGGTCCCAGGCTGTAGACAACACTTATTTCCGATGTAATATCTTTTGAGGACATCAACTTAATCGCTTCGTACCAGTCTGTTGATAGCAAAGTGAATTGAAAAGTGCTTTATAGGAAACTGTCATCATGTCTTATTTTAGTTTTCAGTCTTGTAAAATTGACATTTTCTAGTGACTTTGTTGTTCGTTATTTACTCTCATTTTATTTAATCATTGTAGTAAAGATGGGTTAAAATAACATAGGAATCATCATTTTATTAAATCTATATAAATAAAACTGTCAGCTGAAATGACTGCCTCGTTGGCCGAGTGGTCGCAAGTGCGACTGCCGGGCAAGGGGTCTCGGGTTCGATTCCCGGGTCGGGCAAAGTATTACTGGGTTTTTAAAAATCTCAGTAGTAGCACGGAGTCTGGAAATGTGCCCGGTATATGGCAATAGGCTCACCCCCTATTACATGGGACTCGTAACATAAATAGTGAAAAGTGGGTGTTACATTGTAGTGGCATTAAGTGCCGTAATGTGCACCTCTGCCTACCCCTTCGGGGATAAAAAGGCGTGATGTTATGTTATGTTATGTTATAAATAAAAATGAATTTGCGTTCGTTAGTCACTCTAAAACTCGAGGACGGCTGAACTGGTTTGGCTAACTTTGGTCTTGAAATGTTCGTGGGAGGTTTAAAAGGTCAGAGAAAATCTGCATTGCTGCGGACCTGCAGCTAGTGATTGTTAAATTACACGTGAGCGTATTACTCATTGCATCACCAAAGATTACGTAGTGACTGTAAGACCTATAATAGAAAATTAGTTTTTAATTATTTTAAGTAATATTAGACCAATACCATTTTAATAACAACATTACTATTAGCACGTCTATAGCTTACGATATTTCGAGGAAGTTTCGTAAGCAATAGACGTCGGAACATTTTCAAGACTATTAAGACTTGTAAGTTCGCATCTTGTTATTCGAACTTCGTGACAAGTTACCAACAAACTTGCGTTATGTCACATACAGAGTGTAGTTGCATCTCAAATGTTCGTTAATCCTATCAAGGTAATATCGACTTACCGTATTCAATAGAATTGTGTACCTAAACTTCTTTATTATAACTAACTATACACATGTGATAAGATCAAAAACCGATTGAAGGCTCTGATTAGCTTGACATGCCAGTGCACAGCGAGTCACTAATTAAATTAATAATTAGTGCTTGGATAAAGTTCTACGCATGGTGTACTCGGGTTGCTTTGAACAGATTTGTCTGAGAATTTATGTTTACTTGCTAAATAGTTTGTTGCATACTCTGAATGTTGATACGGTATGTGAGTTTAGAGAGCTTAGCTTTCATTGAAGTGGTGTGTATATTTTCTGTAAGCATAAAGTTACTCGTACTCGAACTAATACTGTACTTATTTGCAACTTTTTACTTTCATGTTAATATAAATGAAGTTATGATACGAATATATTTTTTCAATATCAAATACTTAAAATGGTTGTTTTATTATGGCATTAGCCGGTAAACGAGCCCTCGGATCACCTGATGGTAAGCAATCAGCGTCGCCATGGATACCTGGAACACCAGAGGCGTTACAAGTGCTTTACCGGCCTTTTGGGGATTTGGAGATTGAGGATCGTTGGGGATTCAGGAATTAGGGAAGTGGAGGGTAGTAATTGAGCCTTTGGTAACCTCACTCACACGACGAAACACGACGTAAGCGTTGCTTCACGTCGGTTTTCTGTGAGGCCGTGGTATCACTCCGGTTGAGCCGACCCATTCGTGTTGAAGCATGACTGCCACAATAAAACACAATTAATGACCTCTTATAATAGTACAAGGAATATGTTCTTTGTTACTTGTTACCCATTTACGGACGCAAAAGTTTTATTAATAACTTCTACGTTTAACAACAATGGAGCATTTTACACAAATCACAGCTAAAATAATCACTATCAAATAGTTTTTAATCAAGATTGAAGTGATCGTTTCTACTTATAGCTATTACATAAATACTATTGAAATCCAAATAGGGTAGTGCGAAAAGAACTAAATCCAACTTAATATTTAAGCTAAACAATCATCACTTGTGGTCAGCTTTCGGTTACAGCTGCCCCGCCTAATTTGGCTGGAGATAAGCAGTAAAGTCGGTATTAATTACCGCGATTCATATTACCAGCTATGATATTGCATGTCGCATTGATGGGCTTGTGTTTGTATCGTATGATTATGTAAATAGATATTGAATTTCAGGGCGCTTTGATTATGAATGTATCTTTGTAGTGTATTCAAGTTGTCTGCTGGTTCTGGCCAGCTCTAAAATAGAGTATTTTTTTTCTTGTAATTTTTTATTAGCAACTTATTACATACAAATTAAAATACCTAAAACTAATAGAGAAAATTAAATACGTAAGAGAAAACTTTTTTATTTTTAATTAATACGGTCTATCATTCTCAGCTCATCTTCATTATCACCATCGTTGTCAAGGATGTTGAAAACAGGCGAACACAATCTCATGGAACAACGACTGTGACACCTTGCTATTACAGACTCAAAGGTCTCTAACGCGACATTGAGTTGTAATGTACTAGATATTACAGACGACGCTGAGCACACACACACAGAGCTGTCGGTTACCATCGCGTCGAGCGGGACGGCTCAGTGTCGCGTCGCCGTCCCGTCCCGCCGCGGCTCGCCCGCTTTGTGCAGAGACCTTTACACGCAGAATACACACACACTGGCACGTAGGATATCTGTCGCGTGACATGGCTCGTCATTACACTTCATACATTTTTTTTAACTTCGTACTTCGAACCGGAACCCCGGCAACCCGTTAAACCTGTAAAACCATCAGACCTATTTGACCCCATTTGAGGTGGTCTGATGGTTCTTTAAAGCGCACGCCGAACGCGACGCGCCGTACGCTCCGGCCTGATTCTGGTCGGACGGCGAGTTACCCGTGTACGCCGTGTGCAGACTCGTGCTTACGGTGGCGTGAGACCATCTCGCGATCCGCGACGCCCGGAGTGTCTCTCGCGACGGCTAGGGCGTGAGGAGTTTCATTACTCCATGCGCTCCGCCTCCTCTTTAGCAAGCATGACTGCTTCGCAGAAGGAGGAGAGACGGAATTCCAATCCCCCTCGTTCCGTACCATGGTCTGAACCAAAGCCAGATGCGAGAAGTCACCGTCGCTGATCACATCCCTGAGGACACTGCGGTGCGCGGCGCACGCAGGACACACCGTATGATCCACTGCGTCCTCCTCGTGGTCCTCGCAGTGAAGACACCCGGGCGTTTCTTCTCGCCCAATCCTATCGAAATTTCCTAGTCCGATAAGCATCTGCGTCAGGCTGTTTGTGAGAACGCCGTAGCGTCTCTCAAGCCACTCCTCAAAGAGGGGTGGCTTGAGCTTACCGACATTTCATACATTACGGTGTTGCAAGCACACGCACTCATAAATACACCACTGACATTTTGGTGCCTCAATCATTTTTAAGTGATACTCTTTTTTCAACGTCCTTTATGATTGTCACCATCATTCCTTGTAATTAGGCTATGGTGATCGTTTACTATATGGTGAGACATAAGCGTTGTTGCTACTATTGGAAAGGACAACAGAAGTTAGGAGATAAAGTTAACAAATAATTCATACATTACTTACATTAAGTTACAAATCAAATGACTAATCCATCTATTCTAAATTATATTAACAATTTGGAGAGAGAGGCGTCAAGTCCTCTCCCCTCTCGCCGTAGACGCGCCGGTCGTCAGCGCCGTGAAGCGGCAGCCGATCTGCGACCTCCATGAGAGGAGAGGCCTGCGGACAACTGACCGGGGGAGTCAGACGTCCGCTATATAGGCGGGAGTAGGCGTTAGCGTAGTGTTCCACGCGCGCTACTCGAAGAAGGAAAGCAGCCTCCTAGGGCCGCTAAGGTGGCGGGACCTGCCGCAAACATAGCGGTAGGTCGAGGCCTGCCGGGTGTGGTGATTCCGTAAGGGCAACCCGGGTCACGGTCACAGGCAGTGAAGGAACACCGCGGTGGTTTTAGCCGGTATGAGTCCGGCACGCCCCCTCGTCGTCCCCACGGCGCGGGAAGTCCATGAGGATTTCCATCGCGATAGAAAAAAAAAAAAAAAAAAAAAAAAAAAAAAAAAAGGGTTAACAATTTACTTACCAAACAAAAATCAAAATATATTGCTTTTTATGTTTGTTTGAAACAATTCTTATGTAGTAATAATTTAGGAAGGAACCGTTTCAATAATAAAGGATATATTTAACAATTGTTAGGACAACAAGTATTTTAATAACTAAAAATTTATCCCATTAGTTTAGGTATACCGAAGTGCTTCATATTTCTAATGACTTGTCTGAAGTTATGTTTCTTTTTAATTCTGCCCATGTGCTGCAAAGTCCTAATTAATGGAATGGTTTGACTGATCATGTAGCTGTCACTCAAGCAATATATGAATCCAAAGTCAGTGTATCCTGGAAGTAAGATTATTTTACCTTTAACATTTTCCTTCAATTTTGTGACATGTGATAACAAAAATAAGCTAAAATTATGTAGCAACCTTCCTCAATATCACCATCATCAGCATCAGCCCCGTTTCCGTCCACTACTGGACATAGGCCTCTCCAATGGCACGTCATTGAGCTCGGTCTTCAGCTTTGCGCTCAATCACTGCCAGCCACCTTTTTTTCACACCTTTTTGTCACAGACAGGTGACCTCTGTCAACAGGAGTCACCCACCTGCTCCATAAATCAGGTAGTTCTAGAATAATGTGCCATACAGACTCACTGATAGTTGAATCGCATTCGGAACCTGCACTTTCTTTTAGTTTAAATCGATGCAGATACTCAGCGATCCTTATAGTCAGGGTAATCCTGGGGTTCTTCAAGACATCGAGGGAGGACCTAGAGTCACTCAATACGTTTACTCTAGTCGCTCTGCTGTCTAGAATCATTTTAGCCGCTCTGTTCAAAGCGTATAGATAGTTCAGATTACAAAACCGTGCAGGAAGGGTTCAGACTAGTCAAAGTCAAAGTCAAAGTCAAATCATTTATTTCAATTAAACCATAGT